ATTTAGAAGAATATACAATTACATGCATTATTTAATTTATATTGTCACATATATATTTATGCATAGTAATAAATGTGGAATATGGAAAAATTCCAATTTTAAAAAATATATAGAATAATATTTTTTAAAAAAATAATTTTGAAGACCCTGACTAGATATTGGAGGAAATTCAAATCATATTTTTTTTAACATCATTTTAGCTTTTACCTAAAATTAATTTTGAAATTTTTTTAAGTGAATGACCAATTTTCTTAAATTTCGCCTAAATATCGAAAAACTTAAAAAAGATTCCAACACAAAATAAAATAATAATAAATAAAATTTCTTTTATCAGTAAATATTTTTCAAAATAAATGATAAAAAACAAAATCATATTTTTTTAACATCATTTTCACTTTTACCCAAAATTAATTTTGAAATTTTTTTAAGTGAATGACTAATTTTCTTAAATTTCGCCTAGATATCGAAAAAATATCGAAAATTTAAAAAAGATTCCAACACAAAATAAAATAATAATAAATAAAATTTCTTTTATCACTAAATATTTTGCAAAATAAATGATAAAAAACAAAAATAAGAAAGGATAAAATTAAAGATTTATAAGATGAATTTAATTGATCATTTGTATTTGCATATTTTAATTTGTATTTGCATCATTTGTCCTTTTCATATTATATCATGCATTTTATTATTGTCAAAAAATATAAAGTAATAAATGGTGATTTTGAAATTTTTTTTAAATAAAAACGAATATTTCTAAGTAAAAATAATTATTGAAACCCTATGTAAATATTAGAGAGCATCTCAATAATTATTTTTTATAAAAGAATATTACTCCAAATTTTAAGATTCTAATGAGAATTCCAAGTGAAGAAATATCTTTTAAAATTTCGCCTAGATATTGAAAATTTTAAAAATTCTAAAACTAAATATTTTCATCTTATTCTTAAATAAAAGGTTTTAAAAAGATTTTTGTAAAAAATAAAAAATTAAGAAAATTATTTTAAATATTAGAATTAATACCATTGTTATCAAAACTAAAGATAACACGTGATCAATTGATACTATTATTTACAATAAGCATTGTGAGAGTTTTAATCTTTCTTTACACGTAATTGTATTTTAAAACACGACTTTATTTTCGTAAATCAAATATTATCTTTTTAATAAATTTTAATTAATTTTAAAATTTTATTAAAAAATAAACATTTTAAATGATCACTCATACCTAATAAAAAAAAAATTGATGATAACTCTTCCAATTTTAAAACTTTTAAAATTTTCGTCTGTCCCCAAAATTATTAGGACAATTATAAAGAAACCTCTTTATATTTAATTGAGGATAATGAGATAAACTTAAAGTTGAAATTTATTTTCTTTCTCTATTTCTCTCTTTATCACTTTTTCTAAGATAGGCTAAAGTTGAATTGATTATATACATATATATATATATATGCATTTGACCTCCTAAATTTAGAGGATGATTACATAAATTTTTTACCAAAAAAATAGGTCACATGCCCTAAGTAATCTTAGAAATGAAATTACCCTATCTAGTTTCTGGTATTATAAGAGAATTAACATAGGTTAAAGAAAAAAGGTGATCTAGAAACATAGACATTGTAAAAAAAAACCCGCAATAATGCAGAGTATAAGAGGTATTCTGTTTGGTTAGGTGACCAAATTGTGATGGCAAACAACCAAAAAAAATTGATAAAGAAGTCTGTAATTTAGAGATAAAAAATTGAACGAGTCAAAATCTAAATTCAAACAAGAAAAAAATTACCATGATCTTGAAGAGAAACTCTAGCCGATGGTTCGAGTTTACCGCAAGCCCAAGTAAAATAATAGCAATAGGATAGCTACAATAGATACGGCTCCAGCCTTTTAAGGGTAGATAGATTTCGTTAATTATTATATAATTAAATCATACAATTGACCAATGATCAAAGTGGGTCATAAATATAAACAAGAATTAATTAATACAATAATTAAACAAATTAGTAGTCCAAGTTCAGTAGCGGAAGCAGGGAACGAGGAAGCCCACTATCATGTCAATTGCGTCACGAAACTGGCCTTATTGCTTGTCTCATATGCTCTTTTATATTCCCAAATTTTCCAAATTTTGTACCCTCAACAATCCACGTGATATTCACACTTGTCCACTAATAGAAGGCATCTGCTCCAAATTCCGAGCCCTAATTCAATTAGCTAAATTTTTTATTGTTTAAAGAAGGGATATAAAAATAATATAATGCTCATAATACAAAATTTGTATTTTTCTTGTTTGAATGAAAATTTTAGTCATTGTATCTTTTCACGTTTTTTACTACCCACTTCTTTCATTTCAAAGTTCAAGGTTTAGCCACAAAGAAATGGTCTAGAATCTCGATGTTTTAAACTCAAATTTTACTGTATATAAATTTAGTTGTTTAAGTAAATTTAATTTATTAATTAATTATATAAATACAACACTTGATTATAAGTGTAATTTTAAAAAAAATTCAAAACTCAAAATCTTAATTATGCTGTTAGCCTCCAATAGGTATCGTCGATTTGGAACACAAAATCTTGTATAGATTGCAGGATGTTTTGATTTTCCTCAGCCCAAAATTGCTCTTAAGAAAGTTCTTTCTTGTATATTATCAACATAATTTTTTAACTCTATAAATAAAATTAAAGAGTAATTCATTTTTTGAATTAATTTTTTGTAATTTTTTAATATATTTTAAAAGATATATGTCACTCTATTAAATTCATTTGTAAAATCTAAAAACTTCATTTGCCGTAAATGAAAACAACTCTCTCCTTTTTAATTTATATTATACTTTATAGTGCATTACAGGGTTATAATCAGACTTGTTAATTCTTAAAGGAATCAATGAAAGAAGGCCAACATAAACGCAAAGAAAGAAAAACCTCCAAAAATGGCTGACTTGACTTTGAGGTGAAAATGACAATCAGTGAAGTCAAAATATGGCAATATATAAAACTGCTGTTCAAACTTTTTCACATGGTTGGATTTCTTTGTTGAATTTTAATCCCTTGGTTGCATTAGCCAAAGCCTTGACAATGTAAAAGAAAATAATTCTACTATATTATATATATAAAAAGAAAAAAGTAAAGTGAAAGTACACAACTTTTTCAACACGCAACCAAAGGGAGATGGTCTCCTTGGTAGGCCACAGCTCAGCATTAGCTGATCAACTTTCCCTCTTTCTCACAGAGTGTTGATTTGGAGACCACTTTGAAAGAGTCTCTTTGGCAGTCTTTTCAAGCTGTACAGCGTTGAGATCAAAGCCTTCCATTTTCACCTCAAGGCATCTTTCTCTAACGATGCTTTTGCATGCCTCTACGTATTTTTCTAATGACATTGGCCAATGCAAGTTTGAAATTGTTTGAAAAGACACAAAAAGAATGTGAAACTTGTGGTTGCGGGAAGAAATTTGCCATTCATATTTTGATTAAAATAAACCCAAAGACAGGGAAAGCCACTTGAGTTGTATTAGGTAATGAGAGAAAATCATCTCAGAATGAATTAATGATGGGATAATGATGAGATAATGATGCTTGGCGTTTGGTCTTGTAGTGCCTCATTTTAGGTTTGCTAAAGCTTAAAGCTAGGTAGCTAGTAAATTCATATTATATTATATATAAAGAGGAAATAATTCAATCAAAGACAATGAAAAATGGGAGAATATAAAAAGAAAGAAAACTCTATATATTATCTCTTTGGGTTCCAATTAAAAGAAAGGAATGAAATTACGATAAAGAAAAGAGTAAAAATAAATAATTATTTATATTAATAATTAAGTGTTTTTTTCTTTGTTTCACTCTCTTGATCATTTGGGAAAGAATTGAATTGAATCTCATGAGAGAAGACCTTTTTAGTGCCAAACTCCTCAAACTTTTTTTCTCTTTTATTGCCAAATTCAAGATAATTGGATACATAATTGTGTTCATGATACCCTAAAAATCATTTCAATCAATGTTTGGTTTAGTCCACAAGCAAATAAACTATTCTTTTAAAGATTTGCTCTTTCATTTTTGTTCTCTCATCTTTGTGTTGCCATATTTGGGGTATGTTTCCGCAAGATTGGAAAACTCTAATGGACTCTATACAATTGAAAAACACTACACTCTCTTAATTTAAATATAAAAAAGAAAACCTTAAAGTGAAAAAGACGTGTTTATAGAGAAATGAAGAATGATTTTGAAAATGAAGAATGATATCTAGAAAGATATATTTAGGGTGGCTTAGTTTGAGTGCCAAGAAACGTGTGAAAGATTTAATTATCAAATATTTATAAATATAAATACACGCACCTTTGTTAATTTTTCAAAACAAATTACTGTAACGCTAGGAAATTAATTAAAGTTCAATGTCATTTATTATACTGATTCAAAGGTTTATACACATGCATATATATATCTTTCAATTCCAGACAAAAACATTGACAAATGTTACACTGCTACGGAGGCCTAAGACTTGCATAGCCTTTTAAGAAAGAACATGAATATGAAGGGAAAGTCTTGAAACATGTTGGCTTTAATTAGTCTTGTGTTTTCAAATTATCTACCAATAGATTCTGATGTACTGTCTTCAATCGTTCATCACAAACTGGAAGCCAAAGAGAAATAACTAAAAAAAAAAAGCTTGTTTTTGGAAGCGTGTATCAATGTCAATCCAAATAAGTGATTTAAACCAAATACTAGAAATCTTTCAGAAAGTTTTTGGACACATCACATCAAGGAAAGAAGCAATTAATGGATTAGGTTTCTATACTTAATAGTGGGTGATGTTGTGGGCTGGACTTGACTTAACGAGCTCTGATCTGACCCATCATAGGCCGAATGGGTGATGTTGTGGGCTGGATTTGACATAACGAGCTCTGATCTGACCCATCAAAGGCCGAACGGTCTTTTCTAGTAGTTAGTGGGAAACAACCATGGCGAGCGACACAAGAGCCCGAGGGCCCATCAGTTGGGGCAAAGAAAGAAACTACAATAAAAAAAATTGCTTTGGAAAACCAATCCAATCCTTCGACAAAATGTAGCAAATGTCGAAACATCTATTTCCATCTTAATTTTCCTGCTCTAAAACAAGTTTGAAAAGATTATACTGATAAATTCAATATCCTTGTGTAAACAAAAACACTAAAACTGAGGCCTAAATGCAAACCAGATGTGATTAGAGTGTATGCCTAGCTCAACTCAACACAACTCAACAGTCCAATTCATTTTGTCTTCTATAAGACCCATCTGGAGTCTAGTAAGCACGGAGTATAGCTGTTGAGAAACAGTACCAAAACCATCCTCTCCATATGAAACCCTGCACATTTAAATTTTGTAACAAGTTTAATTTGTCATAATTGGATGCAAAACCAAGAATATATGCAACCGACTTCAGCGTTTAGGCAAGGCAAGCGAGAATAGCAGTCTCTCGCTTCAACAAGACGTAGCTACCTATGACTTTTAACACATTTTAACTAAGCGTTTTATTTTCAATTAAAGGAAAAGGAGACAAGTTTACCTTCATTTGGTAGGTTTTATTAATTTTAAATTAAATTATCTAAAATCAGACTAACCAAATTAGTTTGCTTTATTTTAATTAATCAAACCAAATTTGTTAATTTTGAAAATTAATCAACCGAATTTATTGAACCAGTTCGATTAATTTTTTTAATTAACAGAATAATAAAATATATTCAAATTAAATTATATTTTAAACTCTTAATTTTTCATATTTAAAATAAATTAAACAAAATGATCTAAAATAATATTCAATTATCAAAATAATAAATTAAAAACTCTAACAACTTATAAAATAAAATAATTTATTTAATGTATTTTTAATTTTATATAGGATTTTCTTATATTTTAAATTAACTGAAAACCAAAATTTTTCTAAAATTATTTTCAATAACCAACTGATTAACCAAATTAATTCAACAGATTAATTCAATTTTAACCGAATTGTGAACATCCCTGTTCACAACAATAGGTGCAATTATTTACAAAGGTTATCGAGTGTTGAACAAAATATTTTATTTTTTCCTCCAATCAATGTCCATCTAAAAGTTAGGCTCCACTATCATCAATCGCCACTCTTAATTTTCCATATTTTTGGAATGTTAAAATTCCATTGACTAAAATAATTACCGCATGCAAAAGTAACTAATAAACACTACATGCTTACCATCTCTATCTCCCACAAGAGGAGACAAAAGTAAGAATGGAAGATGTAAACAGAACATGTAGAGGCAAAATTATTAAGTTAAACAAAAATTCATTTACTCAACTGCATAGAGAATTTACCTTTTACCCTTATAAGTAACGCTGCCAACGGGTGACACTACAACCGCTGTCCCTGTGCAGAAAACTTCATCAGCATCAAGTAATTCATCCACTGGCACAAGGCGTTCCTCAACCTGCATCATCAGCAGATGAGCATCAGAAAGTAATCCAAGGTGCTCCCTCACATACTCTCACTGATGCAGACAAGCCACAATTATGATTTCATACAATATGAAATTAAAAAAAAAAAGAAATTATTAACTAAATCCAGATGAAACCATCCATATAAAAGTAGAAAAGGTGGCTGCATCAAAGAGTATTGCAGAATACCTACTAATGTATTCAGAAGATATGAACAAGTGAAAAAACTTCATTAACAAGAAAAAATAGCTCACTGTCTTTTTCCCATTTTCTCCAGGTTCTAAGATCTGCAAGCCTCTATCACTAAAATGTAACTCTAATTTCTAAGTAACAATAACCACTCTGAGACATTCTTTCATAAGCAAAACATGGTCAACAAACACCAAAAACCCTTATCCACATTAGCACAACAACATTCCACAAGTTGCAGAAATCAAACACTAGACATTCTCCATGATCCAATACGTAAATTCAGAACCACAGGGCTCCTGTAAGAACCCTGGCCATATTTTGATTCCTGAATCATTGATGTATGGGAACTCTTATAGGCAGGCAACAAAGAATACTATATTTTCAATGAACATATTATGTACAACTCTATTATTTCAGCAAAAAATCTGAAAAAGGAATTGCAAGGACTGCAGGCAAAAGTTTGATAAGAACCTCAGTTGCCCTCCATTTTCAAGCAATAGGGCTTTTGTAAAGCCCACTTTATCATATGAGAATCTGTGACAACTTGGAACACTAATATTTAGGCAACAAGCATTTGAACTATGTCTGCATAAAATTAAGTACAAGTCTAACTTTCTACAAACATCACATGGCAACACTCCAACTAAGTCAGCTATGCCTAGAATTGGTGTATGAACAACAGATGTGGGCAAAAAACCATAGCATAACTAGAATGGCCAGTCGAATTATATAAACATTCCCGGAAACATGTAGCATTACTTTTGACAAAATGAATTTATCAACAGTCTTCCAAACTATAGAACAAGTACCTGGAACCCTTGGCTTCGAGCAACATCAATTATACTCTTTCTTGTGATGCCAGGTAAGATTGTTCCCTTTATTGCAGGAGTCGAGATGACATTACCCTAAAAACACAAAATTTAAGTTAAAGAAAAGGGATTACATTAGTGACAACTACACTATCTAAATATGTTTTAGCTCATCAACCACAGTTGAGTGTAGAAGGATCTGAAACAAGCCTTATTTAACTCAGAAATCTAAACTCTTCGACAGAATTTTATCTTAGAGACAGAATAAATTCAAGATGTTTCATTCAATCATTCAAGCACAATTATTTTATCGTAAATAGATTAAACAAAATATCCTTACATATTGCTTGAACTGCACAAGTATTTAGAGATACTAGATTTAACAAATATGGATTCTAAGCAGCTGCATCATAGTAGAAGTAAAAGTTTTAAAATCATAGTAGAAGTAAAAGTTTTAATAAGTGGCTGTAGTAACACAGATATATGTAGGAGTCATTCAGTCAAAGTCAAAACAATATGACAATAACGGAAGCCCCATTTTCTAGTTGAGAGCCGCTGAGAGGCTAAAATGGTGGGAATCTTTTTTTTTTTTTTATTCTAGTGCATGACGTAAACATTCAAGGTGAAGATAAAGCAAGGAGATCATGGTAACAGAAAATGGTCCGCTGACAAAGCATGGTTATGAAGTTTCGATATTAAGACATATATATCAGTTGAACACATTGAACAAGATTTTCAAAGAAGGAAGAATGCAGAAAGCTGGGGCAATATCCTGTTTAAAATGAGATTGATGTTTAACATTTCTTCTCTCTATGATAGAATGAGTAATGCAACAATTCTAGATGATAAAAAATATATATTAACTAGCAACAAATAAATTGACCGTAATACCTTAACCATGAAAATGTTGCAAGAGGAAACTTCCTCCAAATACTTTTTGTTAACACAATCAAGATAGAGGACATCGGAATATCCTTTGGCTTTTGCAGCAGATTGTGCCTTTAAGACCTACATATATGATATAAAGAGAAAGCATTAGCTTGTAGAAATTAATGAGTTTCATTGTTTCACTACCAAAAACATTTCAACTGTCTAAGGCATAAAAATTGGTGAATGGATTCACCAAGCACCAGAAAGCTAGCTTACCGCAGCATAATTCCCGATAGTTTTAACACCCCCAGTGCCACCAGGAGTTGCACGATGCAATTCATGCTCGACAATTAAATTAATTGGAGCAACACCTTCCTGGAATCATATATAAATCATGGTGATTGAATAATTATCATATGACAGTTTGCCAAAACTATCAAAACAAGGAAATAGAAGGAATACCAAAGAGTAAACCTCATGCAAACGTTTGACCAAAAAAACCTAATGTAAATGATTATACCTCCAAACAGAAAGTTAATAGCTTGATATTATAAACCTTCATTTAAGTAAGAAGAACATGGTTGAAGGAAGAAGGATTTTAGACTTAACAGAGAACAATCATGCATGCTTGCTTATCTCATACAAACAAAACAACAAACACCTTCATTGAGTACAAATTTATGGCAGTTATAAACATAAGGCCAATAAAATCTTTCTAAAATATTTGATATGTAAAATTATGACAGTTTATAGTAAACCAGTCTCTGGCTCAACAAGGATACACACATGTAGGAAAATATTTCACATAAAATAGCAATTCGTTTTTCAATTCGAATGTGTTGTATTGCTTTCAGGATAAAGTTATTTTGCATACAAAGTCATGCCTAATATTTTCCTCCAAGGTTATGTATAAAGACATAACTTTAAACCTATAACAAATTATATAGCTAATGTATCCCTCTTGCATGGCCAAAGAAAAGGAAGCATGTTTAAGCTTATGCATGATTAAAATCAAACAATGAAGATAATGAACCTTAAAATAGTTTCCCACAGGTGAGACAAAAATAAGAAAGGTGTACTCAGGAGCAGGTGCAAGACCAAGGACAGCTCCACTCCCCATGAGCAATGGCCTGATGTACAAGGACCCTTTACCTGGTGGGGGAACCTGAAATCAGAAATTAATAATTTACTCATAAAACGGGTAAAGTCAAATGGTAACCAAACTCATCCTTCCAATCAAGGTTAATAGTTACCCAACGTTTGTTTGCCAGGACAGTTTCCTTTACAGCTTCCACAAACTGCTCAACAGTGGGTGACAGCATGCACATCCTCTCTGCACCCAGCCTCATTCGAAGAGCATTTTCCTCAGGACGAAAAAGAAGAACATTACCATCTTCTTTCCTGTAGGCTTTGAGACCTTCAAATAATCCCTATAGACAAACAATAAAATGATGATGGGAGAGAGAAAAAAGAACTACTACATCACGATGCCTAAAGACAAATTAAAAATAAGTTTTATGTAGAAAAGTTAAATGGGGTTCTAACAGCAAATCATCTTAGAGCAATATGCTTAGATATCACGCATCATGAAATCTCTCTTCCTTTGTCTCTTTTAGCGGGAAGGTGGTGAAGGAGGTCATGTTACATAATGTAGGTATATGACAAACTTAATTTGTAAGCATATGCAAATAAGAATAGATGCATGTATACTGAACAGCAAGCATCATTTAACTGTAATGGCCAAGTAGCAAAATGAAATCTAAGCAAAAGCTGAAGATAAAATTCAGGCATGAAAATTAAAAAATCTGACCTGTCCATAATTTAAGACCCCAGATGAGGGGCTTAATTCAATATTTCCAAACCGTTGTAATTCACCTTTAGAGAAGTTTCCACCTTGCGTACACTTCATCATATACATATAATCAGTAGGAATAAACCCAAATCCAAGATTGTCCCACTCTATATCAGCTAACTCAGATGCTTCAGCGCTGCATTCAACACAGTGAAGTCACATGCACAGAAGAAAAAAAAATTACCATTTAGGATTGAAAGAAGCAGAGTAACGGATGAAATTTAACAATATCATAATGACACCCACAGGCAGAGAACTTTTTTAAGCAAATAAGAGAAGTAACGGATGAAATTTAACAATATCATAATTAATGATACCTACACCTGCTAATGCGAACCTTTCTTTCACTTTATATCAAAATTAAAACTTTTATTAAAAAAAAAAATGCAAAAGCAAAGAAGTATCCAAAAGGAGCCTAAATGACAAAAAAAAAAAAGTAAATAAAGTGCAATGAAACTGAACAAATCAAATGCAATTTGATCATATAAAGAAAACAAAGAGCACGCACCTATAAGAATCGGATAACACAGCAGCACTCCTAAAAGGAGAGCTAATTTGATTAATATTGTGACAGGAAGCAGGAGCTAAAACTTGATTCTGTAACTGCAAAAGAAACGCGTAGCAAAATAAGCAAAATCAAATACGCAACTGAGAAGAAGAAGAAGAAAAGGAAAGAATAGAAAAGTGAAGTTACCTTGAGAATTTGCGGCTGAGAGAGACACGTGCGATGAGAAGAGGAAAGAGGTAGAAATGTAGCGGCGGCGACGGAGGAGGAGGAGGAGAAGGAAGAGCGAGAAGGGCAAAGAAGGTAATATGGCTGAAGACCAGCTAGGACGGCAGCACTCCCCATTTTCTCTTTCTCTTTTTTCTCTCTGCTACAAAGCTAATTTTCGTTTCTTTCTCTTTCTCTCTCTTCCTTTTCTCTTTGTATTTGTGTTGCAGGCTGCAGAAGAGGGCTGACTCTATCTGCCTCACATCAATACATACTATCGAAGTTGTTCCCAAGCAAATTTGGGAAGGACAACTGGATCAGTTAAATTTTAATTACACGCCATTTGTCAGTCAATTAGGTTATAAGTTTCTGTGTTTCAATGTTTAAGTTTGGAAAATAATAAAAATGTAAAGACAATGATAGATGGATATGATTTTTAAAAAATCAAAAATTATTTATAATTGAATTCTTTTAAAAATATAATTAAAATGATTTACTTATTTTTAATAATTAAAAATAACTGAATCGATAAGAAATTAATTGATTCATAAAAAATTAAATTTTTAGTTGTAAGAAATATTAAGCAAATACTTAATATTAAAAGTTAATTGTTTCAGGTCATTGAATCGTGGGTGAATAATTTAGATTACGATTTTTGTTTAAAAATGATAGTATATGGTTTTATTTTTTATCAATTTTTAAGAAATAATATTGTTTTGTAGGAATTAATGGGTTATAAATATAAAGAAAATGATTTTTTAATTTACATAAAAAAAGTGTTTTTTGTGAATTATTCATGAAAAAAGATTTGAAGCATATATATTATAATTTAGATTGTTAAAAAGCAAGTAGCTTGAGAAAAATCAAAATATTTGTTTCTATTTGATAAATTTTTTATTGATTTTTATATATTCAATTGCCTCAAATGTACAAGGTAAAGGTTGTAAAGTTTCAAATCTATCATTTGTAAATCAATCATGATGATAAATAAATTATTTTTTAAAATTATAGTGTATATATGTATATATTAAATACTTTGAATAGTATAAATTATTATTTTATATTTTTCTTCACTTTAAATTTTAAATTTTATGATATTACTATTATTAAAAACAATTATATATGAAGATTATATTTTAGTTATGCCCCTGAAGCGAAGTGAGAGCACTTATCTAATTTAAACTAAATCAGACTTTGCTCTTAAAATAATTAAAATTTAATTGGACTACTTTTTTGTTTTTGAAATAAAATTATAAATATAATTACAACCGAAAACAATGAAATATGACTATCGAAAAGGATATTACAAAATAAAATAAAAAAAATAACAGCACCAATGGATTCTACTTATCATTCGGTTTTACGATTAGAACTGACTCATTAAGACAATTACTCACCATGACTGGGCCCACTGTAGAAGTCTACCCAGCCGCCAGTGGGCCCAACTTATGTTAATAATTTTCTTTTTTTTTTTTTACGAAGATTTCAGTGTTATTTGAAAAAACAGAATTGAATTATTGTTGTTTATTTCTAACCAACTATTTTTTTTATTTTACATAAAAAAAAAAATTTCTCTTAAATGGTCAATAACGTCTCACAATTTTATTGTATAAATGAATAATCAACCGTTTATCGAGTAAATCTTTTTCTTTTGAATAAATAAATAAAATCTATTTTTAAACACTTGTTACTAAACTTTGAAATTTAATTCAATTATTTAAAATTTAAATTTAATTCGATTATTCATATTTATTTTAAGAGATTACATATGATATATTTAAAATTTAAATTTCAACTTTTCCAATATCATTTTTTTTTCTCCAAATTATCTTATTCTCTGGCTACGTACCAAAAAAAAAAAAAACTGAGCAAAATCTATCTGATTTTGTCGTCATATAACCCATAAACCAACACATAACCTATCACAACAGCCGCTGAAACTAGAAATATCAGAAACCAACTACTAAACATTAAACAAACCCACACACACAAACACAAAGAGAGGATGGAGAAGCATTTACAACAAGACCCGAGTTAGTTAAAGCTGTTCACATCTTTAATTGCTGTAAGGCAAATTGATCCCTTCCAAGTATATACTACTGACTAATGCTATTTTGCAATACACCCAAAAAGGTATGCCAACGCTGCTTCTGTCAAGATTGATCTATCATAATGATAAAACATACAACATTTCATGGCTTTGAGAAAGTATCAGTTTTCCTTCCATGCGCGTGCATCATTGCATGAGTGAGATTAACCAACAGAAGAGGTTATGGGAAAAAGTTATTAGGCAATTGCAAATGGAAAAAATGTGCAGAAGCAGCAGAACTTGGAAGCTATTTACACGGTTATTTACAATGACTTCGATGCCCCAACAATCTTTCACATCTACATGTTGAAGGTTGCTTTCAATTTTTTACGGTGGTTATCCAGCCAACCTTCGATCAGCTTGATCTCAGTTGCCCTCTGTTCCACTAACCAATCAGGGTCCTCAGTCGTGGAGGTACGCAAATCTATGTGATGAGCACCTGAAACATTGCATTAGTAAAATCTGTTAGAATCCCTTTTTTTGTCAAACACAGAACACACAACTTGTTAAAACATTGCATCAGTTAATGTCGCTAACTGTATTCTACATGTACTGCCTTCCTGTAATTGTGCTATTAACAGCATTAAAAAGTGTTCTGTCAAGAGCTATAATAATTAACAATTCATCTGCTAGCAGATAACTAATGCTAAATCATGTTATCTAAACTAATTCTAGTCTCCACATCAATCTCATTTGGCTTATAAGCAAGCAAGAATCAATGAATTATCATTGAAGATGCTCAAAACTAAAACTTAAAATAAACAAAAGCAGGAACCTTCATTTACTTGATGTCAAGACAAAACATACTCATGAAAATTTAGAAAAGTGGATTCGGTGGGAAATCCATCAGATAGGTATTGATCAATAGACTATTCCTAAATCTTATAAGATCAAACTGAAGCTTTGTACTAATTACTACATGATTATAATTGTTAGACTAGGTAGATATGATGCTTGGATGTCCACCACAGAACAAAGCACAGGGCCAAAAGAAAGGGTTCATAAATTCATAAACTTAAGTTGCTGTTGTGTGTTCATGGGTTGTTTGTCTTAGTTGTTAAACAAAAGGAAAAGGAAAGCTATAACTGAAAATGTGTAAGATTCTTTGCGTGATCTGATCTTATGCTTGCTAGATTTGTTGCCTTCAAATTAGGACATTGAGATTAACAAATTATAAAATTAAGTTAAAAACTAAAAAGAACTGCATTAATGGAAGTTAGAAGCAGCAACAATTGACGATTTACTTACATGTGAAAAATCTTAGGATCATGCTATAATTTGAGACAGAATTTATATTGAAGACAAAGGATCAATGAGGACAAGACAAAAGGCCAACAAAATGTCAGGTCTGAACTACAGCTAAAGACTATATGTAGACCGTAGAGGAGGCCCATCCGTAGCAGAAATGAGAAAAAGAATCCATAAAGTGAGTCAATTAGCCATTCGGGGCCTTCATTAATTGATTGGATAGTGTTATAGATGACCTCTTATTCATTCAAGATACCAGCTGATCAGCTACCTTATATCCCAATTTATTACACTCATCAAAAGATGAAGTAAAAGATCACTTCAGAAAGGATTACCTTCTTCCGTAACAAGAGCAAAAATTGTTTTAGATATATTCTTCAAAACACTGCAAAGAATAATATCAACATTCATCAGAAACTACATGACTAAAACTTTGATAAAAATCAATATAAGAAGCTCACCTGCCACCACTCCAAGGATCCGATAGACCACTTGAGAATATGATGTTGCTTCCAAAGAATTTCAATACATGCTCGATATCCTTCATATAACAACAAAGGCCTATTCATTATTCTTCATATCAACATATAATCAGTCATTTAAGGCAGCGCAAGATAAACCATGTAAATTGAAGGAACTAGCCAACATATAGTAATATATCTTTCTATTACATGTCCACCAAATTCGGTTGTTATCCATCTAGGCCTTGGTGTCACCTGGAAATCCCTCCTGCACTCTTCTTGCTAAGCAGAGTAATCCCAGTCATACGTTGGATACATGCTTGTATTGCTATCACTAGACATTGGTATAACTATCTCAGTGCACACCTAAAGAAAGAACCAGAAATGACAAAAACAATCAGCATTAATGCATAACTATATGATGCTCTGGAGATATATAAAACTCATATAGGAGTAAAAACTAATATCATTCCAATACCTGCCAGTTCCACGCATCCATGGCATGAGGATTATCATCAAGTTGAAAACAGTCAAGATCTCCAGTATAATTGTAGTAAATGCTTACTCCATTGAAATTACTCTCCAGAATGCTAGACCAGTCAGGAGAACCATCAATCTTTCAGCATACCTACAATTTAATTATATTTATTCAAACAAGATCAGGGACAACAGCCAAGTATATCCCAAAAGAAAACCAAGTTCCAAAATAACAGCAATATCATGCAAAGAGTGCAATAACACAGCAAATGAAAATATTAGCAACAAGAGTTAATAAAGCTTATATGTCTAAGGTTTCCATCATTTGCGAAAACCTAAAAAGAAAGAAAAAGGCATTCTCGCATTAAAAATAAAAATTTTATCTCTTGCACTTTGGATGTTTTGCAAAAAGTTGTTGATTACAGATGCTCCATTGTCTAATATTTTTTCAGAAAAATTGTGATTAATGTTACAATATATGGATGATGCCTTGAAAGCTGGATTCAGACTTGGGTGTATGAACACATGTATGTCTAAAGCCAAAGCTTTTCTTCTTGTAGGAGTTGAGAAAACTAAAGTAGAAGTGCAATCGGAAGAGATTACAAAAAAGATTGCCCCACTTCAAAAAGAATTAAAGCTGCAGAGAGATCTTCAGACTAAGTTATAGAAGAAATTGTAACGTATTTCTCAATTAAGCAAGACTAACTCTTCTCCATGGATCTACATAGTCAATTAGATATTCTTTTGTTGTTTCTTTACTTCAACATTCTTTTTTTTTTTTTTTAAGTTTTCTATCTTAGTGTTGCTTGAACACTTGTTGTTTTATTGATATGGACATCCTTTTTTGTTTTTCCATTGCTAGTAATTATTCTTCATTTTTACTTATATGTGATCAAGGAGATTTTTTCTCAACTTTACATTAAGAAGAGAGTATGTCTTAACTCATTGTTCAGGAGATTAATTCAGTTCTTTTAAAAAGCATTAAAGCTGCGGTCAAAAGATTTTCATATAATTTTCATCGTAGTACTTAAGAGATTAAGGCCAAGAAATATGCG